CTTTAAAATCTCGATAAATTCAGACTTTCAACTTAACATAGTTGGAGAACCCTTCGTTGGGATCAAAAGGATGTTTTCATATCTAGCTGAATTTTTTCTTTGGCAGATGTAAAACCTCTACAGTGTCTACACCAATGACTTTTTCCATAAATTTGAAAGTCTCTTGAGACAAAACACATCCAAAGTGTTGATTGGGCATGATTTCCTCTAAAGCTGAAGGAAAGCCCTTGCAATTTTTCAAAAGTTAAATCCATTGAACTTTGATATAGTTAGAAAGATTTTGTATTCAATGGGCAATTATTTAGTGGCTTAATTGAAGAGCTTTTATTTTTTGTAAAATATCCTTTTTCGTTTTTTTCTTATACTTTTCAAACAAAAAATTTATAATGGAAATTATAATTTATTTTATTATCTCTCCAACTTAAGATGGTTTTCTTCTTTGCCCAAGAATCCAAGTCATCTTATAAATACCAAAGTTATAAGCTCAGCTCTGGCTAAAAATTGTTCTAAAAATGTTTGTTGGTCATTTAATTCTAATTTCAGGACAAGCTTAGACCTACTGCTTAGCCACAATCCCTCTGAATGCCACACAGGTTCACCAAGATCTCTCTATCCTACCTGGTGGAACTTGAATGTTTCTCAGCCCAGCTCAGGAATCTATATAATTTATAGCAACCTAAGGAATTCTCTTTGCTGAGTCTCGTGTAGTTGCATCCTATGCAGCTTAATATTCAGTCTAAGATTCAAAAAACTCAAGATTTCTGGAGCTTTGTCTATGTATATGTAACGTATATGTACCTCTTGTCTGGTACTCTGTCTCAAAAATTCCAGCCATCTCAGCCTCCCCAAACTCTGATTTTTTGGTCTTCATTTCAGCTAGATTGTCACATCTACTTGGATCCACCTTCCTTGTGGTCTGAAAAGTGCCTCCAGGCAGAAAGCCAGGAATATTGGAGGGATCACTGCATTCTGCACTGTGTGTTGTACAATGAAAACAAATAGTTCATACATTTTGCCCAATTTTTTGTTTACCGGTAAGAGGGCAAGTCCAGTTCCAGTTAATTTTCATATCTTGAAGTGGAATTTTCTTCATTGCAATTGCCTCTGGCACTGCTAAATTTTTTCTTGCTAAAGCCCATAAATATATTTTTCTGGACAAGTCAAATTGTCTTATCTTTCTAACTTTCTTCCCTGCTGTGACTGACAGGCTATTACTTCCTTTCTCCCCGGGAATCTAAAGGATTGCATTTCTCTCATTTTTGTTTTAGCAACCCATCTGTTCCTCTAGCTTTTTCTCTGCTGGTGTTACTTCAGTGTCACTTTTCTTGTGCGTGGGCATCCTCGAGGGTGGTCCTTGAGGCTCTTTCTCTTCCATTCTCCAGCTCCTTTTTGGGGATCCCTACTGTAATGCATGAGGGCTGGCAGTGTGTCTGCTGGCTGGATCAAATGCAAGTTGAGAAGGATTCTCTCCATATCTGGGTTTCCCCTTTTATAAGTGCCCAAGTATCTGCTCAGTCTCATCATTTATAAAACACAGAGACCCTACGTTCTCCACTCCAAAATTTAAAAATATATGTAGTACATACAAACTGTGTAGAAAATGGTATAATAAACACCCACCAATCTAATATCCAACTAAATTATACATAGATAAAGCATTACAGATATAGTTAGAGCCCTCAGTGTATCCCTCTCAATTCTCCTCTCAACATTCCCCTTTCTACCTTCCTTCTAGGAAGTAGCAAGACCACTGAATTTGATGTTTTTAATTTCCATGAAACACACACACATACATAGCATTATACATATACATATACATATACATATACATATACATATACATATACATATACATACATGCCCAATCCTGCAGCTCTAGCGTAAATCTCATCTCCTCCACCTTGGCACAAACACCACCTGTGGGCTCCTCGGAATTTATTGTCTTGGCACTCATCAAATATTGTCCTGAATAAGAAGTTATCTTTCCCTGAACATGCACCTCATCTTTCCCCTAGAGCTCATGTTCCCGTAAGGTTGATACCATAACATTTAGCCATCGGCTTTGCTCATAATAGACCAGCGGTTCTCAACCTGTGGGTCGCGACCCCTTTGGGGGTCGAACGACCCTTTCACAGGGGTCGCCCAAGACCATCAGAAAACACATATATAATTACATATTGTTTTTGTGATTAATCACTATGCTTTAATTATGTTCAATTTGTAACAATGAAAATACATCCTGCATATCAGATATTTACATTACGATTCATAACAGTAGCAAAATTACAGTTATGAAGTAGCAACGAAAATAATTTTATGGTTGGGGGTCACCACAACATGAGGAACTGTATTAAAGGGTCGCGGCATTAGGAAGGTTGAGAACCACTGTAATAGACCAAATAAACAGGTGTTGTTGCTTGTTTGGTTCATAGGGTGTCCAACTGTCCAGGTTTGCCCAGGATGTAGGGAGGTCCTGGGACAGGAGACTTTCGGTGTTAGAACTGGGAAAGTCCCTAACAAACCAGGATAAGTTGGTCACCCTATGGTTACCTAAACATCTGTGGACATCTGTGTGCACATCAGTGTTTTCCCTGGTATATATTCCCTGCTTTGTTTCCATAGTCAAATTTTACTTGTTGTGAGCTTTCTCCACTGATGGTGAGCTCCATGCAGGCAGACTTTGTCTCATTCATGGCTGTTTTCCAAGCACCTGGAATGGACAAATGAATATTTTCTGAATGAATGAATAAGGAGCATCATTATATCTTGTGAAAATCACATTTTCCTTCTGGGTAACAGGACTTCATAGTTCCACATATACAAAATTTGTGAAGTGCTAGGCAAGCTTATGGTAGTGACAAGTCTGAGCCATTGAATTTCATATGGTAGTTTTATTCTTAATTTTTTGAGGAATTCCCATGTTGTTTTCCACAGTGGTTGTACTAATTCACATTCCTACCAATAATGAAGATATGGGTTCATGAGTGCAAAACTGCCAAGTAAAGGGAGGCAGACTATTCAGCTCACTTATTTATTTTTATTTCTAGGCTTAATAATTTTTATATTCCTTCTACACCGCAAGTGTTTAACCATCTTTATGTAAGTGACAAATCAATTTCTGAATTTTGTTTAGTACTTCATGTATTTTGGATAGTGAGGGTCTTATAATAGGGTAGAGAGAGAACAATTTGGTTCTCTTTGTGTTACTTCTTATACAATACTCACTTTTATCAAGCATCATTATATGGAAAACACTGCTCTAAAAACGTCCTTCTCCTTAAGAAGTTTAAAATTTAGACGGAATTTCCAAGGAAGCGACCCCAGTAAAAGTTAAGTGGCAAGCCCCAAATCTACAAACCACGGATGAGCAAATTTGTACTGGTCCTGTTGTAGTAGTTGAAGGCCTTTGGCTGAAGAAGGCGTGAGGATTAGTGGGAGACTAAGTTGATATGAGAAACCTCCTCTTGGAGGGTGCAGATTTGTAGAAATCTTTGAAGTAGTAGATGCTAGATTGCCCAAGCCTGGCGCGAAAATAATTCTCCAGAACTGCGGTGCCAAAGCCACTCCACAGCTACACATTTCTGCTGCAACTACCAACTCTGCGGCTTAGGGCGAGAGAGGCTCCAAGGCCCGCCCAGGAGTCCAGTACCTCGCTCCGATTGGACGAGCTTACTTCCTCGCCTTTCCCGGGATCCTTCGCCCGTCAATTACCCTACCCTCCCTTTGCCCCGCCCCCTTTTGGTGATTTAACACCGTTCGCTGTTTCCCGCCCCAGCCCTCAAACTCCTCACTAGTCGCTTCAGTTCCTCATTGGCCAGCAGAGAGGAGGGGGAAGGGAAGGGGCATTCTATTTTACTCTCTAAACTACCCCCCTGGAGTTTCCTGGTCTTCCCTTAAGCTGTCAGGAGAGCAACGATCGCCCGCAGCTGTCACGCAAGCGTGCAAAGGCGCTCACTGGTGGAGGGGCACTTCCCCTCCCAAGAAAATTCATTGCTCCGTTGTGACGCAGGCGGCGTTCCGCTCGCCGTCTTCACTTACGATTGGCTGTGAGCAAAGTCCGTCACACAACCACGCCCCATTCCACTGCCTAACCTCTCTGCTTGAGACACCTTCCAGGACGCCACGCCTCACCGCGTTACTGCCGCTGAGCCCTGCAATTGGCTGAGGGAGCTGGCATGCTTTCCCACCCACAACTCCCTCCCAAGTATTTCAGGGCTGGCGGGACCCCGCGGAAGTTGTCAATCTCCGCCCTTCCCCACCCC